AAAATTGTCGCCAGCCAAAACATAGAACCACTTGAAGCTGAAAGACGCAATACTAAAGTAACTTGTGCCATTGCCTACAATTCCTCATAAAATCCACGAGCAAACGATAAAGAGAACAGAAAATTGCCACAAATGATGCGATATTGAAACGACATATGAAGAAACTGAAGAAATTGGGCGAAACTCTACTTCCATCCAGTCATCATACAATCAAACAAACTTGGAATTTGACCAAATTTGGTTGGCGCTAATAAGGTGCTAAATCCCAGCGAAAAATCCACGGCCGATTGAACAACAGTCTCCTAGTAGGTTCAAATGACAAAAGTGCGTGGTGAGCCGCAGGCCTATGAGCCACATTTCGTCGGTTATAAATTAACACGGCCAATGTAAACTTTCACTATATGTAAAATTTACAAACAATTTCTGTTGGTTTGCTTTAATAATTTCACCCTGTATATTATTGACTATCGTATCCTCTGGTCGTTGGATGAAAACATTCGTTTCCCCGGGAAAGGTAAAAGCATTTCAATTTCAATAAGTCGTATATTTTTCAGTAAAACGTACGGTCTGACCAGGTCGTATATCAATAAGGCCTATCAATGCAATATGGCGCCAAGCGTGACCATTGGCCTGTTCCCCAAAGAGTTCCGGATATACATGTGTTTTATTCCGGGTGTCCGACGACTCCCGGAAAACATCGCTGTTAGCAATTTTTATAAGGGACATAAAGTGCCGAGAAGTTTCTTTATGAGGTCGAGTGCGAGACACCGGAGAATTTACATTAGCCCAACTAGGCCACTCTGTAATTAATTTAGCTTGCCTCCATTCGATTAGCCATATTCCGATCAAATTGTCCCCCTCTATTTTAATAAATAACCATAAATTCCCAATTATCGAAATCGTTCCTCGAATACGAGCACATAAATTGTCCCCACCCCGTCTATATCTTTAATTAAATGTTTCAACCCTTATAAGGTGCATTTCCCTTTGTTGGGGAGGCTTAGTATGGACGTTTTCACGTTAAATAACTAATTGAGTTTTCCTATAGTTTGCAATTTTTTCCCATCACGCTCGGACAGTGACCAGTTGCCCGCAGGAAAAATTTATTAAAGCGTTTTTGGCTGGGCTGTTTGTCTCCATTTTACCTGAGTTAGCTCAAGGTTTTAATCCTAGGAAACCCATCACGAAAATTAAGCAAATATGATTGATTTTAAAATATCAATATCGCCCTGATTAAAGATGACTTCGTTCAGTTAAATAGTCGTTATCTGATCAAGTGTTTATTTGCATTTGCTGAACTTTTAAGAAATTATTGTGAAATCTCTGTTCCACTTTACTGGAGTTGTAGTAGCTTCGAAAAGCCACACTTAGATATTCTATTTTCGAATCATTTTAGATGCAAGTGAAGTTTATTTGTCGCCCTTTTTGCCTCTTTTTACTGTCTCACGGATTTTGTTCATTTTCCTCCATTGCAGCATGTTGATAGGAGTTAGTCGAAGTCAATTTAGGCACATCATTGATTTTACACAGACGCTGTTGACAGATTATTAGTGGATAACCCCTTGCTATTGCTGACTCACCCTTCTTGTTAGTGTCACATGTTGTTCTTTGAATGTTGTCCGGCCGTCTATGGGTCGAATGGACCCGGTAAAAGTGGAAATAAATTATATTTCGTAAGGACAATTGTGACTGCCAAAGGCGAACACTTGGAGGCATCAGTTTCATAGGAAAACTGCGAATTTACGAAGTTTCTTTATTTGCGAATTGAATGCCAATAAAAGATCGAGTGTCCGGCAAATATCCACATCCGCTGGGGCTCAAGGGGAAATTTCAATATTTTTCTAGGCCATCGATTTCCAGCACTTAATCTTTGAAAATTCCTGCTGGTGAATGCGCCTGTTATTATATTGTTGTTAATTTTAAATCACTTTTATCGAGCGCTATTTGGTTTTTAGCCAATGTTGTTTTGAATTTAGTGCGATCTTATTTTCTACTGGTTTTCCTACTTCAGTTGCACTTTTTTCTGCTGTCATTTCTATTTCAAAAATTTCATATTATCAAATTTGCCCGACGCTTCCGTATTGAAACTGAATTCGAAACGTCGGCTATTCCCAGAAGATAATGGGAATTTCAATTCAGTCGAAAACCCGCTATCAGAACCCATAATATCAATAACTTTTGCGCGTTTATTTCATCAAATGACAGTTTTAAGAAGTTTTCTTTGTCGAGAATTCGAAAATTCCAAATCTCCCCTGCGTAATTTTTTAGGCCTAATAAATGTATGTATATTTTAAATGTTTTTCGTCGATATTTTACAGAAAGCAAAATCCATCGTTAAACGTTCTGAATAATAATACTCGATTTTTGTCCCAAAAAATTGAATTAAGTTCAGAAATAATCAGCGACAGGAACAAACCGAAAATAGAAAAAAAGATCCCCGTTTTCTGAACCGTTTCGTTCGGCAAACTTCTTCGAAAATTGAGTCCCCCATCGAATAAGGAACCTTTTAACTGAAGTATAATTCAATTTAAATAAGAGAAAGTGTCGCAAAGGGCGGGTGCTCGCGTAAGAAGGGCAATCAGCCCTAAATCGAGGGACAAATGGACGCCGGAACGTGGCAACACGATAAAGATTGACTGTTTTACTACCCCACTTGAGAAGGTTTAAAATGGGGAGCCCCCGTGCATTAAGAAAAAGCCCTCAAATGGGGTGTCGAATGAGTTTAGCAGGTTTATTCCCAACGTCGATACACACCTGATTTATAAAACTTTGAATAATTTACTTTTCTTTCAATGAGCTCAAGTGCCAGTTGTTTCCATACGTGCAACTATTAAAAAAGTGTGGAAAACGACTGATAAATTGAGATGTTTTTCGGAGGAAAATGGAAAATCGAGTGTAAAGTCTATGAAACGGAAATGTGCACAATTTCCATCAAATTCGTTTGATGTTATGCTTCAACTGGGTTGAAGAGTAGATTCTCATTGATTTTTTCAATTTCTTCATCTGTTGTTTCACACTAGTTGTTTCAACATTGCAACGTTTGTGTTTCGGCAATTTCCTGTTCTGTTTACCGTTTGCTCGTGGATTTTATAAGAAATGGAAGGGTACAAAATTGATTCTGATTAATTTTCTTTAAATTTTTTTTTTTGCTTCTTTAGCATCGCATAATGTTTTCTTTTAGCTTCAAGTTGCGTAATTTTTGTGTTAAGTTTTAATTTGCAATTTTTTGGTTCTTTTCTCGCTTGATTCTGTGAAAAATGGACTACAGAATCTCATGAATTTTCTTCAATTTCGTCTTATCCAATCAAAAGAGATGTATATTTGTAACGATTGGATTGGATTTTCTTCAGTGTGTACACACCTGCTGCCGTCTTTAATTTCTTCGTATATTTTTTTACTTTTCTTAGTATCCCAAAGACAATTTTCTTTTATATTCAAGTTGGGTCTTTACCGCGCCAAACAAATTTGTAGTTTTTTTGCTGTTTTCTCGTTTGATTTTGGGAAGAAGGGACGACATATTCCCATTAATTTTCTTCAATTTCTTCTTATGGCTTTTTACTTGTTTTAGTGTGCCAAAGACAATTTTCAAGTTGTGTCTTTTTCGTGCCAAACAAATTTGTAGTTTTTTTGCTGTTTTCTCGTTTGATTTTGTGAATAATGAAGGGCACATTCTTATAAATTTTCTTCAATTTCTCCTTATAATTTTTTATTTTTTTTTAGTGTGCGAAAAATAATTTTCTTTTATATTCAAGTTGGGTCTTTATTGCGCCAAACATTTTTGTAGTTTTTTCATGTTTTCTCGTTTGATTTTGCGAAGAATGTAGGCCAAATTCTTATGAATTGTCTTCAATTTCTTCTTCTGCTTTTTTTACTTTTTTTAGTATGCCAAAAGTAATTCTTTTAGATACACGTTGGGTCTTTATCGCGCCAAACAAATTTGTAGTTTTTCTGCTGTTTTCTCGTTTGATTTTGTGACAGGACGACAGATTCTTATACATTTTCTTCATTTTCTTTTTATGCTTTTTTAGTATTCCAAACAGAGTCTTCCTTTAGCGTCGCGTTGTGTGATTTTCATGGCAAGGAAATTTGTGGTTTTTTTTGTTTTCTCGTTTGATTTTGTGCAGAATGGACGACAGATTTTAATTACTTCTGTCAATTTCTTCCTTTACTTCTTCATGATCACATCAGAGTCTTGTTTTAGATCAACTTGCGTTATTTTTGTGTCAGGAACATGTGCAGTTGTTTTGTATTCTGCTCGCTTGATTCTGTCAAGAATAGCCGACAGTTTTCATTAATTTTTTTCCATTTCTTCTTCTGTTGTTTTAGTACCGCATATAAGAATCTTCTTTCAGTTTTCAGTTGCTACATTCCAGCCTCAACAATTTTGATAATCTGTTACCTGCTTGGTTGATTTTACGAAAATTAAAAGACGGGATCTCATTAACTTTCTTCAATCTTCAAACAGTAACTTTGCTCGAATTCATTGTTGCTTTTAAGTCCTCCTAAACCGTCCCCTGCAGGTGCATTCAAATACATTGTAGCCCAATCGTTTTTTGCGAATATTTGAATTTATTGGCGAGGTTTAGTTGGTTTCTGCGAGGAATAACGCCAACACTGCACCAACCTGTACATTTCCAATTAATAAATCCTGCATGTATTGAGGTTCCACTCAATTTCAACCCCTTTTTCCAATAAGTTTCGGGGCTGGAATAATGGCAGTAAAAAAGCCGACACGCGACAATTAATAAGCTGAAAGGCCCTTCAGGTAAATCCGCATCGACTTATTTAAATTTACCCTTTAAACCCTTTGGAATATTTAGATGGGGAGCGCCATTTCGGCTCTATCACTTACCCGATCTACCTACAGGGCATTTGACGAGCTATTAAAAAAACTAATAGGTATTTAAAGTAGGGTGAGCTGAAAAAGCTCACAGGTACATCGATGTCTGATGAGTGCACATGAATTTGTTTAGAAAGGCAACAGGTGGGTACATGCTTACTTGCTAGGTGACCCAATGGCTCGTAGCTGAGAAGTTTTGGCAGGGTTTGCAAACGGTGGCGTGAAAATTTTGCAAACGATGGCCAGTGTGGGCTTGAGCTCGGACTCCGCACCTCTGAAATGAAGAAAATCGCATTAAATTAACGTTCATGTTGATTAATACCGGCACTGGAACACCGGGTAATTACTGCAGAGAACATCAGTAGCCGACACATCATTACTATTTTCCGTAATAACAGCTTTTATACATACGAAAGTTTTTTTAGGTAGCCGTCAGTTTGTGAGAGCAAAGTATAGTCCACGATTTTTTTCCATGGGATCGGGACCCAAAAGACAAAGATTTAAACGCCATGACACATCTAGGGACATTAATGTTAATTTGCCTTTTTTCCTGTCTTCGACGGTATTTAGACGTTGCGCGGTTGCAGGTTTAGACTGGAGCCCCGACTTGATTACAGTTATTTCGGTTGTTTAGAGATAATTTACATAGATTATCGAAATTCTCATTCGAACCGACCGGCTCCACACACAATGGGCGTCGATATTGCAAAATGGCAAGAAAGCGAAAATATTTTAATTTCGAATAAACCACCATAGGAAACTGGCAATGCACTATAATCGTTGTAAACCGTCAGCTGCATACGATAATTAAATAATTATACACTATGGCTCTCATGCAATTTTCTTGCTTGCTTATTGCAAACTGTCTATACGTTGATTTTACTTTGGAAGCGACAGGAATACATTCGGATTTTTTTGGAAATGTTTGGGAAAAGTCGATTATTTTGACGGATTGGGTGATTCATTCATTAAATGTCATAATGGTTGAAGATTATGCAATTTGTCAAACCAGCTGTCAGTTTGACAAGGCGAAGAAAAATAACTTTGCTTGAATTTCAAGCATTTTTTTTGTTTGAATTCTTTCCATTCCACATCCTTTTTCTCTCCATTCCATTACTAAATCACTATATTAACAAGAGCACAAACTTATTTCTCGAACCCTGATGATTGTCAAACTGACAGCTGGTTTGATGGATTTCATAACATCCCACCATTGTGAAAGTTCTTCAGTATCTTCAACCGGTACGTCAAATTTTTCCAAACATTTCCATTTTTCCAGAATTTTGACGTTTTATGTATAGGAACATGATAGATGATTTCATAGGGAAATCAATAGGTTTCTCGAAAGCGAACTTATATACTTAAATGCAATTAAAACGTAATATTTTGACCTGGATAATATATGGCGCTCAAGCACGGAGCCCTCTGAGCCCAGAGGCAAATTTTGCAATTTTTATCTATAGAAATTGCGTTGCAATGCAAGATTTCATGGAGCGATGGAGAAAAATTTGAATATTCCTTAATCGTGCATCGCTTTCTCCGTAAACATCAAAGAACCCAGTATTTATAACACAATTATAACTTGCGGTATATAAGAACTTAAGTCTTATGGGGAACAAATCACCATTGCACTGCCAGTTAATCCAGAGATCGGCAAGTGAAGAGATTTTTTAAGTTTCAGCTTGAAAATGACGTTGCGGAATTTATTCTTCTGTCTTCACTACCAATGATTTCGTTACTGCTTTGAAGGGGCTGCCGAAGAAGGAGCATCAGGTCGTGGCTGTAGCAGCCCGATCTTCAAGGTGAGTTTTTGTCTTATTAAACGTACAAATTAGCTGGTACATACCCAGAAATGGGGTAATAACAGTTTTTTGAATTTTACTCGGTTATATTTGGGTATATTTACACTGAAGAAATCTACCGTTTTTTTGTCGCCGACACTTTTGCATCAACCTCGTATTAGCGCCCAATTTCGTTGATTTTGTTCGCACAATATACAATACGTTTCACGATTTAAACATCATTTTATTGCAAACTTCTTGCTCTTGTCATTCCAGCCAACATTTCCAACTGGAGTTGTCTATAAGACGCTATAGGCAAACTTCACTTTAGTTTAGAATCGCTTCTCGATTGCTGCGATCATCAAAACTTGGTTTGATGATCTTCTGTGTTGAAGACCTTGAGCGGAACAAGTCAATTTCTTTGCCCTGTTCAATTTTACAGACAAAGTGCTCGAGCTCCGGTCCACATTACAAAGGTTCTTCTTCTGCATATCTGAAGAACAAGTCTTAGAGGAATTTGGGCTTGGGAATAAAATACTCATTTCTCAATTGATTATTAGTTCAATCAATTCTTGTGCATGTTAACTAGTCAAGCCTTCGTCTATTTTTGCTTATTCATGACACGCAAGATCTGATAGGTAAAAACAGAGCCAAAGTTGATTCTTCAGAGTCTTCCAAACTTGAATGAATGACATTTTGGGTGAGTAGTGAAAGTTCATTGGGTCTGACCAATAAAAGAAACGTCCGATATAGCGGCGGCCCGTTCTGAAGGTCGGCTTTTACTGCACACAAACACAACATAAACTTTTCCAAGGCAGAAAGGTTAAGAACCTCATTCCCGGAAAATTATTTGTTGTGGATGCTGCGTGATTTCCAACATTGGACAAGGGGCGTGGAGCGAACCGGGGGGGATATTGATTAGAAGCGACCCTAGTTAGCACCGTTGCCCCTTTTCTCATTTTCCTTCTTCCCCGCATTCTGACCATTATTATTAAATTTCTCTTATTTTGCCCAATTCTAAATACAGCTACTTTGTTTAGACGAAACGTTCAAATCAAGTAAAACACAATGAAGCAAAGACACTTTCTCAGTGAGATTTATCTCGCCCGGCTCTCATTCTTTAAATAAAAGCTCATATAAAAGGAGTAGAGGGAAGTAAAAGCCGTCTTTAATCTTCAATTTCCCGAAAGTTAGTAGTCAGGAATCCAGCGTCCAGCTAGCGGCGATATGCGATTCGGTTGAGATAAGAACCTCCTGGTTAAATAAAAGTAAAATGGGGGCTATTTTCGACCGGAGAGCCCCGACTTTCCTTTGAAGACGGCTGATTCGATTCGAGAGGGGCCCTAAATAAATTGCGGATGCATCTCGGACAGGAATCAGACGGATGAGGGAGCCGGCCACCCCTGTTTACAATGGCGATTTTATTTGGTTAAAAATTGGTGTTCACAGGTTAAGGGACATCATTTTTAAAATGAATACAGGTCAAAGGACCGCTCACTCTTTAGGGGGATGGACACTTAAATTGATAGTTGAGTGAGCGGCTCTGGTTGCTTTCGTTTGTTCCAAATCAACTTCTCTCCTTATTGAGTGGCCGGCGGTTTTTCAAATATTTGGGGGCTAAATTGTTAATTTTTCCTCCCTATTGGTTAATTAATCGGTTTTTGCTTAAAGCCGCGTAAAATCGAGTAAAAATCTATCAATTTTCATTGAATTGACTCCTCGATGTCCTGGACACGTTGGTTGGTAGGTGCAGGGTGATTTAGAGTGTAAGCAGTACAAATAGAATAGTGGGAAACAATGATTCTCACCAAAAACCTGGAGATATTCGCAAAAAACTAAAACGTAAATTCGGCAACAGTGTTTTTGATTTAGCTTGCGAATTACGTTTTTTTTTAATTAACGTTCCATATGTTTCTCATTGTAATAGAAAACGGTGAAATTTATCATAAAGGTGCTGAATTTTATTCGATAACCTCACTTCACAACATCAGTTTTGACTGCTTGCACCAACGTATACGTCTCAAGCTCAAGTTTTCTTAAAACATGGAATTTCCGCTCGAATTCCATCAATGGCTCGTGCTAGTGCCTGTTTCACTCAATCTCCACAGGGTTTTAATCGTTGCTTATGAGTACTGACTTCAATATGACTGCAACAATCAGCTCTTCAGTTGTGGCCTTGTTCACTTTCTTCTTCACTTTTACTTTTTGAGAAGAGTTAATTTGCTTGTTAGGAACAAAACACAAAAGGAGTCTTTGTGATGGAGGAAAACTTTATGTACGTTCGACATTGTTATACATCTGAAGACACAATTTAACCAACAATACTCTGTACCGTTGACTTGGATGTCCACTGGTATTTGCCTAAATGCATAAAAGTGGTTGTTTTTTCTGGCTTGAAAATTTTAGAATCAAATTTTCTTCAAGCCCTCTAGAACCCTGTTAAGAGGGTTCCCCGATTTCAAATCACCCTGAACAGAGCGTTTCAGTTATAATTCTAAATATTTTGTATAACTTGGTGGTTTTTACCGGTGTCTTTGAGAGTTTTGCGGTGTAAAAAACACCAAATCGTTACATAAAAGTTGCAATTTTACTTAAAAGACGTAAGATAACGTAAGACGGAAAGATGGTTTCGATTATTTTTTTGGAAAACTTCACTCAAATTCACAGCGCAATTTTATAGTCGTTACAATTATAGTAAACTTTATACATATTTGATTTTGCTATACATTTGAAGAGCACATTTGAAAAACTAACCAAACTGCTCTGTGACGTTGACGTGCATGTCAGCGAATATTCGCCTGGATGCAAAATTGTCGCTGTGATTTTTCACAAATATCTAGAATCACGATTTTTTCAAACAGAAACTGTGCCTAAGTGTCAAGCAAGTTTAAACTCCTTTCAAGAGATTGGCCGATTTTAAATCACCTTGTACACAGTGGTCCAGTTTAATTTTAAATAGTTTCAATAATTGGTGTTTTTAAACGGTTTGTTTGCGAGTTTTGCCGTGTCAAAAACGCAAAATTGTTACATTAAGGATGAATTTTTACTTAAAAGACGCACAGATGACGTAAGAGGTAACTATTATTTTGATGCTTTTTTCGGAAAACTTCACTCAAACTGACAGCGCAATTTTAGAATCTTCAGAATTTGAAGAGCGCATTTGGAAAACTGACCAACAATACTCTCGTGACGTTGACGTGTATGTCCACAAATATCTGACCGGATCAAAGGACTGGATGAATGGTTGCCGCTGCGATTTTTCGCAAAAAACTCTCTATGGAGATTCTCTCGAAGAGATTGACGCTAATTTTTAATCATCCTAAACATAGCGGCCCAGATCAAAAAACTGTGCTTCAGCAAAGTTCTGATTCCACTTGAAAAACGCGCGGATGTTTTTGAAGATTTTTCGAAAATCTCTGTAAGCAAAACCACGCGATTTCGTGTCCATTACTTCGGCAAGTCAATTTTGTTGCGTTATCGATTTTCCGACTAT